AGAGAGAGAGAGAGAGAGAGAGAGAGAGACGTGCGTGCTTGTGCGCATTCACGCGCACGCCAAGGTTGGACGTCCATCGAGCGACGACGGTCAGAATGGAGCTTTTATCGTATTTGTTACATGTACTTCACAATTCTACTTGTACGCGACTTCAACTATATCTAGTTTTAATGCCATGTAATCGATTTCTTTGTTTCATTTTTTACACCAAAAATAAATAAATAAATAAAAATCTAAGTTGATTTTTTGTTTTTAGAATCATTTCTTTCTCTCACTCATGGTTGTTTGCAAATTTGAAGATGATGTTTGATTGGACAAAGCACAAGGAATAAAGTATGTTTCTAATAATCATATTTTCTACATTAACTTTCACTATCTGAACCGCTTTATCATCATGAGGGTTGCAGTCTACATTAACATGTTTATGGTTCGATATTTTTATTTTTACTAATTTTTATTTATCAACATTCATTCATTCATTCATTTTCCGAACAGCTCGATCCTCACTAGGGTGGGGGGGGGGGTGTTTGTGCTGGAGCCTATCCCAGCTGTCTTCGGGCAGTAGGCGGGGGACACCCTGAATCGGTTGCCAGCCAATCGCAGGGCATTTATCAACATTGTATTTTTAAATATTTTTCTTTTTCGTGGGTTGAATTTTGGGGGGAATATTTATTTCTTTTGTTAAAATCAGACTTGATTTGGAAATTCCAACAAAACACAACATCAATAAAAGCCACACTGAATATTAAAATTACCCTTATTTATAATAGTTTTTACATTGTCATGTTGCTGTTTTCTATATTTTTTCGATATTTTGGTATGCTGATTTTTTTTCTAACATGTTAGAAAATTTTTTTTTTTTTTTAATGGTCATTATTTTGGTGGTGAGGACGACTCGCCTGATTGCAGCGCAGGCAGCGTGGACTTCCATTCAGTGACGACGTGAATGTGCATGTGAATAGTCGTATGCCTCGATATTAATTTTCAGTTTTAATAAATAAAACAGGAGGTAAATTTGAATTTTACTTTGGGATGGGGGGGGTTAAACTTTTAATAATTACAGATGGTTGTATCGAAACATGTCTGTTAAAATTCAGTATAAAAGACTTAGTAAAATACTGATGAATAAAGGTAATTCCAAAAATAAAAGCAATAATTGTCTTTGACCATCAATTAAGCAGTAACATACCCCCTACTGCGTGACAGTGCTCCCGTTGGTGAACACAGGTTACTACACCCTCCAAAAAAAACGAGTTACCGTAATTGAGGCAATAAAACGTGCTGATTAACAAGCAGTTCACCTCAACCTGTCATCGGTACATGTTATAATTCAACATTGAGACAAACTGCGCATGTCAGCTCACTCAAGAAATGACTACTGTCATTCTGTTTTTTATATCTGTGTTGGTTCTACGTAGAGACAAAAAAAAGTGTTCTCACCTGCAGTTTTTAACCTGCCGTCAGTTCACCGTGGCTTCCGTCCACTTCTGCTCCCCCGCCGGCAGCGGGCGAGCACGCCGCCTCTCAGCCTTCTCATGCCGGCTGTCAGTCCGTCAGTCAGTCAGCCAGCCGGGAGGAGCACCAACCGACCGAGCCTTGGTCGGTAGAGCGAGCGAGCGAGCGAGAGAGAGAGAGAGAGAGAGAGAGAGAGAGAGAGAGAGAGAGAGAGAGAGAGAGAGAGTGCGACTGAGCGACATTACTACAAACACATGCAGTCTTAAATGAGGACAGCTGACTTAATGGTGTAATGGCAATTTTATTTTCGTTTTGTGTGACACATTCTGATAGTTTCGGATCAAATGCCTCACCATCATGTCTCCTCGGTCAGGTGGGGTCCACGCACTTGCACAGGTCCAATCCTGCACCGATGATTGGTGCCGCTGTCTCATGGCGACCAAGCATAGCCTATGGGAAACAAGGTTACATTCACTCGTTGTGCATCAACGTCGACCAGGCCACGTACGTGTCCAAATCGACCCGAACTGCTGCGTTAAATGGCGCTAAAGACTCGCGATGTCATCGTGAATAGGGTGAAGCGGGTGGTGAGAGGCCACATTTTGGTTCGTGCGAGAGACTGTTTCCGTGCTGCTGTTAGCAACAGTGTTGAAAAAACATCAGCTCGGCATCAGGTACACACATGGACAAAAAGCTGGAGTGGCTTTTTGGTTGGTAGCATCAGCTCTTTGCATAGAGATGCAAAAATAAAGCACACAAAAGAAACCAGCACTATCGCTCGACTGTTTTTGTTATTTCCGGCATAGGGTGCGTGGAATGGAATTATTCCTCTGCACCTGGCACAGGACATCGTGAATCTATGTAGCGTATAACGAAATCTCAAGACGATCAAGGCATTCACTGACGCAAATGTGAAACGCAGAGGCTTTGTTGCATCCGGCACAAGGTGCTCTGTGCGAGGTTAAAAGAAAACTTCAAACTATCGGGGTTTTCAAAGTGCCTAGTGCAAAAATGGGTCGGTTTTGCTTCAACTGACCTCTGGTGATCTGAGCAGGGCACAACAAAATCCCGAGACTATCAGGATATTTTAGACCCAAATGTGCTTTCCGGTGCTGAAAAGACTTGGTCTTAGTTATGTTCTGGGGCTGCTTTACTCCATCCAGCGTATATTGGATTGAATCGACCAAGCATAGAATATACAATATGTGCTGAAGGTTCACTTGATTGGCAGACCTGACACGTATGCATGCTTCACTACAAAATTACACACACGCACGTACGCATCCTAGTGGTGTTGTTATTGTTTGCGGCAGTTGCCCCCGGAGACGAGGAGGATGGAGAGAGAGAGAGAGAGAGAGAGAGAGAGAGAGAGAGAGAGAGAGAGAGAGAGAGAGAGAGAGAGAGAGAGAGCGAGAGACAAAGACAGAATACAGAGGAGGCTGAACTTGACCTTTATGATGTCTTGGTGAGGAAGGGTTGGGGGCATGTTGCTACTTATGAATCTATAATGAGCCTCCTCCTCCGTGTGTGTGTGTGTGTGTGTGTGTGTGTGTGTGTGTGTGTGTGTGTGTGTGTGTGTGTGTGTGTGCGCGTCCGTGCGTGCGTGCGTGCAATTGTCTGAGCTCTCAGCTGAAGAAAGGTCATCACATGGGGGGGGGGGGCTTTAATACACCTGGCATCTGTCCAATCCACCTACAGTACCTATGACCTCTAACTTGAGTACACAACATTAATATTTACAGTCGTCTAAAAGTCCAGCGCCCTGAACACACCTCATAAAGTTGTGTGCATGTGCCAAACAAGACAGCAGAAGATCCCCGTGCATTTTTCCCATGGAACATTTGCAGAGTGGAGACTCATGGCGAATCCTCGAATTGATCATCAGACTTTGGCCACGTCAGTCAGAGTAGGAAAACAAAAAATCTCAGCAATTTTCCCCATCTTTTGATAGTTTGGGCAAATTCCCGAGCAGGAGTTTGTCTTTACTGTCTTGATTGAATTTTAATGACGTTTTTGCTTTTTACCTTTTTAATTTGGATTTGATGTACAGCACTTTGCATGCAGCTACGGTCGGTTTGAAAGTGGTAAATAAAGTTGAGTTGAGTTCGTCGTGTAAATATTGGATTTCCTTCAAAGACAGTTATCCCCCCAGCCCCCCCAAAAAAAAAGCTTGACAAACGACAAAAAGTCCTGCAATTTCTCCCAAAATGGCTTCGTCAAATTGAAATGCCCCACATCCTTTTCTCTGTGTGCTCTTATGTCAGACGTGTCCACCCAATTTTGTTTTCATGAGTGAAACTGATGTCAGGGCTGATTTCTTTGCGTTTTTGGGGGGTTTGTTTTTCCTCTGAAACTTTCCTGAAGGTGCGATGGAAAGAATTACGGGTAGTCATAAAAACTAGTAAATATGTGTGTGTTTTTGGGCATGTTGAATCCACTGGAGAAAAAAAAATGATTCAAGAGGGCTCTATTATCAACCTATTTGCCGGACAAGCCATCTTGAGGTGTCAGGTCTGCATTGCGAGGCAAAGCAGGGGCTGGAACTCTTTACTTGTTTACCGGTTGACAAGCATGTGGCCACGACTGCCACTTCCAATGAAGATAAAAAGCGGGGAGCAGGACGTCTGGCATTGAGTGGAAAGTGAAGCGATGGCCGCTTTTTGTGCATGGAGGAGGAGGGGGGCGGTGGGCTCCTTTGTTCCAGCTGCCACTGCAGATTTAGGCATCTGTACGGAGGGCCTGTCAAAAACGGGCTTATCTCTTTGGGGTCCCCCGTGGTACAAAGACCCATTTAGATAGAAGTGGCCCGCAGTAAAATCTTCATTATATGGCGCTTAGAGGAGCGACAGACCTCTGGCTCTTTCAGCTGAATTGGAGACAAGTGCTTGGCCAAACAGGAGGAGGTGGTGGCCAAGATGCTCGGGCCTCTGTCTGGACATGGCCGTGGTCATTGGGCGATGACACCGTTTTTCTTCCCTGTGTGCCTTTTTCCACGCAACTTGTTGCTGTCTGGATGTACAGCGGCCAAACGGTCAAATGTACAAAGTGACTAAAAGAAATTTGATTTCATTTGAAATTCTTAAAAAAAAAGTCCTATCCATTTTAGATAAAAATTCCAAAATGGGATATTATGTCTGTTGCCTGCTCGCGGGTCAGCGTTGCAAATGACAATCGCTTCTCAATTGCCTTACCGCGTCAATCAAGATGAACTAAATAAATAATGACATTTTGATTGCTTTAGTTAAGATAGAGAAAGACAGGTTTTATCTTCAATTTTTTGGGGGGGACGTAGCAGGACTGGATAAAACATTATTTTGAATAAGATAAAATAAAATTGATATCCTAAGAATATTTGTACTTGTTTGTCTACATTTAATGATGAGTAAACTCATTTTGTTCCATTTGTAGTCTGCTTTGTGATGTGTTTCCTGCTCTGGCTGTGTGAAAATGAAAAGTTGCGCAGTAGCTCCTCTTCAATACAAGAGAGAGGAGCCCGATGGCGCATACCTCTCCTGCGCCCACAGCTGAAATCCGTTTCTCATAATATGTGTCGAATTGACCGGACCCTGGTTTAAGCAACACAGCGCGACAGAAATATATATATATATATATATTTATAAAATGACAGGGAAAAAAAATATATGGGGGGGGGAGCATTTATTGTATTCTGAAAAAGGAAATACAATGCATGAGACTAAAAATTTTGGGGGAAGAGGGGGTGAATCCGATGCGAATAAAGACGTATTTTCTTGTCCGTGATCAAATTTCGTAAATATTATCAGTCCAAAGTCATTTCGATCATGTGCCTTATCGTGGAGGCAGAGGACGTGTTTTATGATCAGATTCGTTCCCGTAGCACGAGTGGACATACGGAAGGCGTCAGCGAGGCCGCTCAATGATCCCTCCATTTATCTCTCCATCCGTCCGTCCATCCATCTGCTGGCCTTTCCCAGCCGCTGCCGTGTTGGTTTGCAAGTTGTCAGTAAATCTGCCACGGCGTCCCGCTGACGTGCATTGTGACGCCGCTGAATACTCTTGGGCCGCCAGTATGGCCTGCGCCAATGCTGGATTAGCCACACCGGATTAGCCTGCCGCCCTCCTGCTGCTTATTCAAATATTGTTTCACGTATTGTCATCATCCGCAGAGGAAATATGCTAAAAAAAATACAACAAAAAAAAGAGAAAACAAAAAAAAGGGTAGTTTTCTGAGCGAATTCGGAGCCAGTCGGGAAGGACGGGATGGGAAAGCGACACCGCCTATGCGCCGCCGCCACCGCCACCCGCCTACCGAACGAAGACGACCAAACGAAAACGAAGCATGAAAGCGAGCCTTGATCTTTGCTAACATGGCGTTCATCTGTCTTTTTTTTTCCCCTCTCTGTCTCCCCCCTTCCTCACTCCTTCAACCCTCTCGCACATACACTTGGGAGTCAAGGCAATTGATGTGCTGCCTTTGATGGCAAAGAGAGGCCTATATTAGTGGCCAAAAAGGAGCCCCCGATGAAAGGGCCAAAAAAGAAAAGAAAATGGAAAATGGACGGGAAAAAATATGAGAAAAGACGGGGACATGGCAGAGATCGGCGAGGGTGGAGAGGCTTACCGTGCGAGCCCGATGGCGGCCGTGGCGTCGACGCTCGGCCTTCCGCCGCGTGGTCTCACCGGTCATCCTGAGGTGGACGAACGGGGGCTCGAACCCTTGGCGAGGTTTAGGGGGGGACGTCCCGCCGGCGGATGCTGTCGCCATCTTTGTCCCGTTGTTGTCTTGGATGTGCCTCGCCTCCTCTTCCTCCGCATCTTCATCCCTCCCCTTTCCTCGGCTTTGATCGTGCCTCGCTCCCCTCCCTCGCTATGACATCATCACGCAGAGCATCAAAGGGGGCTTCTGGGGCTGGACCCTGGGTGAAAATATGGAGCATAAGGAGAGCTTGGATGATAAGGCGCCTTCGCCCCCCTCCACAGGACCCACATACACCAGTTCGACAGGCGTACCCCAAGGCCCCCTGCTGAGACCCTTGAAGTTTTTTTTTTTTTTTTTAAAGCCTTCCTGCACCAGCGCCATGAACTTGTGTTACGCTCATCGCTGTCATTGGATGATGGCTCCTTACATCGCCTCCTGCTCGTGGGTACCGTTCTCCAAATCCTGCTAGGGACCCTCTATGTGTGTGCCTTAGCAGAATCTGAGAAAATGACAATAAAGACAAAAATACATCATACAACAGGAGTAAAGTCAAAATCATACATGACAAAAATACTTTATTTTTCATATGAAACATCTGATATTGTTCAGATAGGTAAAAAACAAACAAACAAACAAACAAACTTATTTTTAAAGATTTGTTTTAAAAAAGTCATTTTTTAAAGTAAAAAAAAAAATCAGGTTTAATTTGAAAAAAATTGAATCTGTTAAAGAATTTAGATGGAAAAAAGTTGCAGTATAACTAGAATAAAATAAAACATTATTTTCAACAAAAAAGTTGTTGAAAATGTAATTTTACATATATATATATATATATGTGTACACACACAGACGCACACACACACACACACACACACGTGCACATACATAGGGTGGCCTGGTGGTCCAGTGGTGAGCGCATCAACCTCACAGTGCAGAGGTGCAGGGTTCGATCCCGGCTCCAGCCTCCCTGTGTGGAGTTTGCATGTTCTCCCCGTGCCTGCGTGGGTTTTCACCGGGTACTCCGGTTTCCTCCCACATTCCAAAAACGTGTATGACAGGCTGATTGAACACTCCAAATTGTCCCTAGGTGTGAGTGTGAGCGCGGAAGGTTGTTTGTCCCTGTGTGCCCTGCGATTGGCTGGTGTCCCCCGCCTGCTGCTCGAAGAGAGCTGGGATAGGCTCCAGCACCCCCCGTGACCCTTGTGAGGATAAAGCGGATCGGAAAATGGATAGACGAAAATCCTTCTTGCACCTTTGAATTTACTCCATCCAGTGACATTTAGGCCACTTTGCCACAGACAACGGCAAACTATATTTTGTCATGAAATGTAAGTTATGGTTACTCACATCTCCCAATCGCATAAATGGTCATTCACATGCAAATCGCATATGGCTGCAGGTATGAGGAAAACTCATTCGGCCACATTAATAGCCCTCCTGCTCGGCTTTTTCTTCCGCCACAAATGACTTCCCGCGTAATCCTCATCAACTAAATCCCAACAGCCCACCTGTAGCATCGTCGGGGGGGTAAACGCTAATAGCGGGCTGCTGAGGTTTGATAAGCATTTTTCTATTAGTACAATACAACATCCTTCTCTCGGCCTCTTATATACACACAGTCCAAAATGCTCCCATCATCCAAATTAACAATGGATGGAAATAAACAAAAATGTGCAGTATATGTGTGTGTGTGTGTGTGTGTGTGTGTGTGTGTGTGTGCGTGCGTGCGCGCGTGCGTGCGTGCGTGCGTGTGTGCGTGTGTGTGTGGGAAGAAGCAGCACCTGCCTGTAGGCCACAAGGGCACGAAACAGCTCGCCGCTAAATCCCAGTTTGGCACACGAGCACGTAATCATCACTTCTTGGTTTTCTTTGTGTTGCGCTGCAAGTTGTCGAGCATGACGCTGTAAAAAACACAGTCTAAAACACACACACACACACACACACACACACACACACACACACACACACAAGGTGACTTGCGATGCACCGCGCAGCCTCATTTAAATAACAATGACATTCATCTGCCACTCATTTATGCAAACAAGTGTACAGTAGAACACAATCTGCATCCGTGAAGGTGTTTTTTTTCTTTTTTAGAAAATGTTGATCAAGAAATGAAAAAAAGTGGTCATTTGAGAATAATTTTCGATATTTTTTTCATCTATTTCTATTCATTTAATTTTAGGAAAACACCAGAATCCAGTGGTGCCTCATCTTGTGAGCTTAATTGGTTGAAGTCAAAACAGCTGTATCTCAAATCATCCTTCCCCATGAATGGAAAGGCCACTTTTCGGTTCAATTCCAACACTGCACTTTGAGCTGATTGTTTTGATGTAAAGTGCATTATGAATAAAATTCATTATTATTATTAGAAGTAAATGCCTTTGAGTATTGTTTTCTTGTCTGTCTACGTGTGTTGATGCACAACTGATGGTCACATTTTATGACATACCGATGCTATCTGTTACCCCTCTGTGGAGTTTTTGTAATGTGTGTTAGCATTAAGCTAGTAAACGTTCGGATAAAATGATATTATGTGGTTACAAGACTAAAAACATATTTTCTGAGGACAAAAACCCTCTCAGCTCATCTGCACAGCACCAATGTCAGTCGTTCTTTGCGGAGGACAAAGAATATATGCCTGAGACTACTGTTCAAGTATAGTACCTGTCTACATGCGTCACTGCCCTGTTTGTTTTCAATCAATATCAAGAAGGGTTATCGCCCCGCAAAAGAATAAAAAGAAAAACAATGCTATTTAGCATTTGCCTTAAGCTAACAGACAGAAAGGCTAAGCGTTGTGGTCGCTCCGCTATTGTAATTATTGATGGTGCACAGTCCTTGCAGCGCAGAGTGAGGGTTGAGGAGGGGTTGCTTGGAGGCCATTGTTCAGCGAAAGTGAGACAAACGAGACCCTGGAGAACACTACTTAGCCGCTCATAAAGGTCAAATATGGAGGCACAGCAGCTAATCCTCGACCCCCTGGGGACACCCATGGATGTTGTTGTTTCACGGCCGTGTGACATTTAAACCAGAGTGCGCCACACTACGTTGTGGATGTGTCTACAGCCTCCTGTTTGGCTCGAGAGTGCCCGCTGAGGGTTAATTAGACGTGGCCTCAGAGGGCAATTTTTAACTATGCTCTTCCACTGCTAACTGGATTGAAACACAGCCTTTTCTTTATTAGATGTACTACTAGACAGACCAAAGTTCTTAAGGACAGGTAACAACTGCATGGCTCGATGAATTAAGTGTTAAATGTGCCAAATTAAAAAGAAATGAAATCATCGATACAGATAATATTATCAATATTTGGCAACATTTTTATTTTGGTGGGGCTCTAATGCTCCTCCACAGTCTAAAACACACACACACACACACACACACACACACACACACACACACACACAAGGTGACTTGCGATGCACCGCGCAGCCTCATTTAAATAACAATGACATTCATCTGCCACTCATTTATGCAAACAAGTGTACAGTAGAACACAATCTGCATCCGTGAAGGTGTTTTTTTTCTTTTTTAGAAAATGTTGATCAAGAAATGAAAAAAAGTGGTCATTTGAGAATAATTTTCGATATTTTTTTCATCTATTTCTATTCATTTAATTTTAGGAAAACACCAGAATCCAGTGGTGCCTCATCTTGTGAGCTTAATTGGTTGAAGTCAAAACAGCTGTATCTCAAATCATCCTTCCCCATGAATGGAAAGGCCACTTTTCGGTTCAATTCCAACACTGCACTTTGAGCTGATTGTTTTGATGTAAAGTGCATTATGAATAAAATTCATTATTATTATTAGAAGTAAATGCCTTTGAGTATTGTTTTCTTGTCTGTCTACGTGTGTTGATGCACAACTGATGGTCACATTTTATGACATACCGATGCTATCTGTTACCCCTCTGTGGAGTTTTTGTAATGTGTGTTAGCATTAAGCTAGTAAACGTTCGGATAAAATGATATTATGTGGTTACAAGACTAAAAACATATTTTCTGAGGACAAAAACCCTCTCAGCTCATCTGCACAGCACCAATGTCAGTCGTTCTTTGCGGAGGACAAAGAATATATGCCTGAGACTACTGTTCAAGTATACTACCTGTCTACATGCGTCACTGCCCTGTTTGTTTTCAATCAATATCAAGAAGGGTTATCGCCCCGCAAAAGAATAAAAAGAAAAACAATGCTATTTAGCATTTGCCTTAAGCTAACAGACAGAAAGGCTAAGCGTTGTGGTCGCTCCGCTATTGTAATTATTGATGGTGCACAGTCCTTGCAGCGCAGAGTGAGGGTTGAGGAGGGGTTGCTTGGAGGCCATTGTTCAGCGAAAGTGAGACAAACGAGACCCTGGAGAACACTACTTAGCCGCTCATAAAGGTCAAATATGGAGGCACAGCAGCTAATCCTCGACCCCCTGGGGACACCCATGGATGTTGTTGTTTCACGGCCGTGTGACATTTAAACCAGAGTGCGCCACACTACGTTGTGGATGTGTCTACAGCCTCCTGTTTGGCTCGAGAGTGCCCGCTGAGGGTTAATTAGACGTGGCCTCAGAGGGCAATTTTTAACTATGCTCTTCCACTGCTAACTGGATTGAAACACAGCCTTTTCTTTATTAGATGTACTACTAGACAGACCAAAGTTCTTAAGGACAGGTAACAACTGCATGGCTCGATGAATTAAGTGTTAAATGTGCCAAATTAAAAAGAAATGAAATCATCGATACAGATAATATTATCAATATTTGGCAACATTTTTATTTTGGTGGGGCTCTAATGCTCCTCCATATAGAAAGCTCAAAATCTCATTAAATTTTGTTGTTGTCTGCTCTGACTGTGCAGCCACATCATTAAAATTCCATCGTGATGCTCACTATATGCTTGCCGTCACGTCTAATTGGCTAATCAAATCAAAAAAGTCGGAGCTGTCCGCGGGGTCACGCTGATTGCAGGCACTGAGGGACAACAACGCTGGTGAGGCAAATTTTGCAGGTAAATAACACTGAGATAACGAACGCCGGGTCAGCAACGGTTCAGCCCAAGTGTAACGAGCTCTGAAAAAGGCAAAACTATACTGCAGACGGTGGTATTTGGTCTGACACCGATTCAATAAACATTTTCTCCTGTTAAAACGGGGAATGGTGGTTGGACAGTGAAATACAACGAAGTCAACATACCCGGAATGCGACATCTCCAGCAACGGTAGCGGTTGCACTTGCAACCGCATCATCTGAGTTGTTTAATTTGACTCCCCTTCTAAAAATCTACGTTTTAACTGAGTTGTAAAGGCTAAATGCCACATTAGGGTTGGAAAATGTTTTGAAAAGAGTTATCGGGATCTGATTATTTTTTAATTAAAAAAAAACG